TACTGATGCCATAAACAGGAGTGTCAATTTGTAAAGTCAACAGGAGTCACTGTTCACTTACTCCTCATGTAGGATCTCTGTCCTTAATGTGCTGGACATTGTGATTTAATGCTATAACGAGTACTCAGTTTTTTCACTTTGTGTTTCTATGGGGGTGCAAACTGTGGAAAGCTTTACTTAATGTATACTAAACTGATCTTCTGTAAAAAAAAAAAATTAATTCCCAACTTGACTCTCACTGGGATTAAACATGACAATAGGTCTGATCTGATTTCATCATCATTTAAAAAATCATCTATTTTTCACTTTATTTCTGTGTGGGAGCAAACTGTTGAAATCCTTACTTAATGTATGCTAAACTGATCTTCTGTATATAAAGAGAATCGAAAATGAATCTTGATGTGAATGGAAGGGGAGAGGGAGTGGGAAAGGGGAGGGTTGCGGGTGGGAGTGACGTTATGGGGGGGGAAGCCATTGTAATCCATGAGCTGTACTTTGGAAATTTATATTCATTAAATAAAGATTTGAGAGACAGAGAAAGAGGTCTTCCATCTGCTGGTTCACTTCCCAAATGGCTGGGCTGATCCGAAGCCAGGAGCTGCTTTTTCCAGGTCTCCCACGTGGGTGCAGGGGCCCAGGGACTTGGGTCATCTTCTACTACTTTCCCAGGCCACAGCAGAGAGCTGGGTTGGAAGTAGAGCAACCCTGACTAACTGGTGCCCATGTGGGATGCTGGCACCACAGGTGGAGGCTTTACCTGCTATGCCACAGCACTGGCCCCGTCTGTCTTCTTTATTCATCAGTGGATAGACATTTAGGTTGTTTGCAGTGCTGCAGTGGACTTGGGAGCACAGATGTCCCCCAACAGGCTAGCTTCATCCCCTTTGTACGTATACCCAGTAGTGGAACTGCTGGATCACAGGGTAGTTCGATTAGTTTTGAGGAACCCCATGCTGTTTTTTTGTTCTAGTTGACATTTCTCCACACCATCACTGACACCTGTCATCTGTTGGAAGCAACCGAGGTAGATGTCCACTGAGGATCAGATGAAACCTAGTACAGAACGGAATACTGCTGAATCGTGAAAGAATGCAATCCCGTCATTCACAACAACATGACTGGAACTGGACTCCCTTACGTTAAGCGAAGTAAGACAAACCCAGATACACTCATCGCATGATCTCATGTGAGATAAAAATCATTTCACAGAAGTTAAAACTGTAATGATGATGCCAGAGCCTGAGAAAGGGGGAAGGAGGGATGACTGACAGGTGCTACGTTACAGCCAGGTAGGAATAAGACGTGCTGGGGCCCTGTCTGTTGCACAGTAGGGTGACAATAGATGATGTATGTACTTTTTAAAGGTTTATTTGAAAGTCAGTTACACAGAGAGGAGAGTCAGAGCAAGAGAGAGGTCTTCCATCTGCTGGTTCACTCCCCCAATTGGCTGCAACAGCCGGAGCTGCGCCGATCCAAAGCCAGGAGCCTCCTCCGGGTCTCCCACACGGGTGCAGGGACCCAAGGACTTGGGCCATCCTCCACTGCTTTCCCAGGTCACAGCAGAGAGCTGGATGGGAAGTGGAGCAGCCAGGACTAGAACTGGCGCCCATATGCGATGCCGGCACTGCAGGCCAGGGCATTAACCTGCTGTGCCACAGCACTGGCCCCTATAATGTATATTTCTAAATAGAAAACTGACAGGACGGTGGATGCTTTTACCATAAGCGTTAAATATTTGAATATATATTTATGCTGATTGGCTTTTACACATGTAAACATCTAGACATTACATGATACCACTTAAGTATATACAATTTCTGTATGTTGCACTTTTTAAAGCTACAGCATTTTAAAAATGTCAGTTATCTGGATGGCTATTGCATTGATCTGCAGGTCACTCTGTGGTGTGGTCACTTCAGTACTGTTTCTCCAATCCATAAACCTGGGAGGCATTGTCACTTTGTGTCTCCACTTCCTTTTGTTTTGTAATTTTCAGCATGTAGGTTTCTTACACTCTCATTGCTATCGTTGGATAAAAGTCGGGTGTCTCTCAAAGCCTGTATTGAAAGCTTTGTCCCTGTAGTCTGATTCAAAAGGGTGAAAGCTGATGTACAATGGATGGATACAATCACAGTGTGTAGGAGGGGGACGGGAGGGCTTGGTCCTATGAGGGTGGTGCCTTGGAGACGGGTGGTTATGGAAGCCAAGCGCAGCCTCCCTCTTGCCTGGATCATCATGGGATCTTCCCTCAGGTGTTCTGCCATCATCACCTTTAGACCCCAGACCCGTGGGGCTCCCCAGTACTGGAGAGTGAACCTCCAAAAACTAAGCCACCATGCGTCCTCCTTTCCTGGGTAATCGGTCTCATTTATGCAGTCTTACAAAGCTGATTAAGACACTGAGTTAAATTCTCAGGAGCTTCTGTTTTTGTAGCTGTTGTGAATGGGATTGCTTTACTGATTCCCGCTTAGCAAGTTCTCTAGGGATGCACAAGAATGCCCCTGACAAATTCAGTGATGTTGCAAGATACAAAACCAATTATCAGCTCTAACGGTACTTGGGTAGAGTCTTTATCATTCTAAACATAGAAAAACCTAAACTATAAACAATCTGTACTCCTTTCTCTTGCCTAATTTCTCCATCCTTGTCTAGTATAAGATACCGAGGGAAATGCTTTGTTTTTCCCCAAAGAGATGTTGGTGGCCTGTTGGTCACATGTAGCCTTTCTTATGCTAAGGTATAAACTCTTATACATACCTTTTTTTTTTTTGACAGGCAGAGTTAGAGAAAGGTCTTCCTTTTGCCATTGGTTTACCCTCCAGGTGGCCGCTAAGGCCAGCGCATTGTGCCGATCCGGAGCCAGGTGCTCCTCCTGGTCTCCCATGTGGGTGCAGGGCCCAAGGACCTGGGCCATCTTCCACTGCACTCCCGGGCCACAGCAGAGAGCTGGACTAGAACCCGGGGTGCCGGCGCTGCAGGTGGAGGGTTAGCCTATCGAGCTGTGGTGCCAGCCCTTATACATACCTTTTATATTAGAGATCTTTCCCTGAATGTTTTTCTGCATCTGTTGAGACTTTTGATGTCGAAATATCTGATAAACCTCACTTTTCTGATTTTTGTTCATGTGGTATGGGATTGACTTGGTGGTACTTTGACAGTTTTCGCTACTACGGACACCAGACACACTGGTCTCCACATGAGTTCTGATCTGGTGCTGTCAGGGCAGTGCTGCCCCTGGAGAATGGGGTGAAAGGAATTGGAGTTCTTCTGTACGGGTGTGGTGGACTTCAGCAGTGAAGCCATCTGGTCCTGGGCTTTTCACTATAGATTCAATATTGTTACTAGTTCTCAGTTCAGGTTTTCTATATGCTCATGGCTCAACTGTGGGAAGCTAGGTGAGCCCAGAAGTCTATTTGCAACACTGTCCATTGATCCTTGGAGTAATTCTGATATCACAAAGCAAAGATTGATTAGCTTGGCTCAAGGTTTGTTTTTATGTATCCTTGAAATGCATGATGCTATTCCAGATGTGATTTTTAAGCATAGGATATTATTGCTACAAACTTACCTCTTTGTAATGCTATGATGTACTCTGCAAGTTTTGGCATATTTATTTTTCCTGACTTAAGAATTTTAAAAAATCATGGGCACCGGTTCTAGTCCTAGCTGCTCCTCTTCCCATCCAGCTCTCTGCTGTGGCCTGGGAAAGCAGAAGATGACCCAAGTGCTTGAGCCCCTGTACCTGCGTGGGAGACCTGGAAGAAGCTCCGGCCGTTGCAGTGAACTGGGGAGTGAACCATTGATAGAAGACCTCTCGCTGCCTTTCCTCTGTGTAACTGACTTTCAAATAAATAAATCTTAAAGCAGCCAGAAGGAAATTTATTATTTCCTTTATTTATTATTATTCAGAAGGGTTCTGCATGATGCCTAGTTTCATCCCATGTAGTCAGATAAAATGTCTTCTATTTTGAATTTAAGGCATGATCTATTGAGAATCCTTAATGACAAGAATGTATTCTGTAGGTATTATACAATTTTCTGTAAACGTCAGATCCATTGGGCTACAGAATGCTTCAACTCCCACCTCTGGTGATTTTCTATCTGATCTCTAGGGGCAGCAGGCTTGCTGGGTGGTGAGGTTTGTGTGTCTACACGGATTCCTGCACCTCTGGTGTTGTAGCTACTGCCTCAATTCCAGAGTAGCTCCTGTGGGAAGGACTTTCTAGATGGGGCTGGTGGTACACGGAGCCGAGTCATCTCACATCTCTACTCTCCAACCGTGGCAACACCAGGAGCAGCTGGATGGAGTACAGCGACTGGGAGAGGTGGTGCTGGGACTTCTCAGGGGCTGTGCAGCACGGGGAGCCCATTTCCACGCCCGCAGCTGCAGGCTTGGTACCGCACATCCTGATTAAAGGCCGTTCCTCTGCCCAGGAGGCAGGGCGAGGCCCCTCCCAGGCCTGGAAGGATAGACCTGACTATCAGTGGCTGTTCTGGGGTATGGTGGATTCTCATGAGGCCTGGGGAACTCTCCTGTGACTAGAGCTAGACACTTGCAGTTGGGGGAGTGGGAGTGAGTTATAGTGGGAGTGGCAGCTCAGCTCCTGCTCGGGTTTCTCCTCCCTGTGCCATCTCCTAGTGGCGAGGGGAGCCCAGAGCACCTCCCTTCCGCCACCTTAGAACCTCCCATTTTTACTTTTGCAACTACAAATGCAAGGTTTCTCCACTGCTTGCAGTCTGGATACTAGGATTTTTTTCTTTTGGTAGTACCCTGTACTTGGAATGGATGTTAATAGCAACACATTTAAGATAGCCAAGGACAGGGTAACTATTGTGACAGTGAAGTGGTGAATTAAACGCATCTGGAAAAGGTAATGATAGTGGCATATTCCAAAGGGCAGGCAGAAGTGCAGGATATGTGTTTCTAGTATCTAGATACTGTGGATATCAGACGATCCTGTTCTCAAGATATCCACTAAGGGAATGAAGCCAGACCTTCCGACATGTTCAACATACATTCAGTGTATTTCCTAAATACTGCAAATAGCGTGGGAATGGAAGGCGGAGCCAAAGCCCACAGCGCATACCCACAATCCCGTGCTGTGGAGGAGCAGTCCCCCCTGCCAGGACGTGCACTTTGGATGAGGGAGAGCGCTGGGCCCCCTCAGAGGGCCACCCCCTTCATCTTGTTCTCCTCCGCGGCCCACGGTTCGTGTTGTATCGTCAGGTCGGGCTTTCTCTCTTCCGCAGCTGAGAGCAGCCGCCAGCTTTCTTTACCGTATGCAGTTTTGTCCAGCCTGGGAACAGAGTTTTGTTTTAACACAACGATCAGCCTTCCTAGAGCCCGATGCCTGCCTTCATTCCCTAAATATAGACATGAGTCTCTCCTACAGGATAAGAACCCCCCAGTTCACACAAAGCATGGATCCGTAAGACTTGGGAACAGATAGAAATCGTATAAAAGTGACAACTTTCAGGTGTCCAGTGCTTTTATGCCAAGCCCTATGTGTATTTATGAAGAATGATGTCTGGGTAAAGTCCATCTTATGTAAAAGGACTCGTTTAATAAACCAGTATATTCGTCTGCTCTACCATACCTAGTTTTTTGTGAGATAAACACAAGTTTACCTGTGAGTACTTTGATCACTGTTGTCCTAATTGTCCGCTGAGCCCCCCTCAAGAACACGGGTTGTCTGTAAAGTTACTTATACGTCCTGTTCTACTTTACAGTGACGAGGCTGCATTTTCCCTTGGTTCTGGGCTCCGGGTTAGATCTCTATTAGGTTATGACTTCTAAAGACTGAGGTTCACGAGTGACAGGCCAGCTTGAGACAGTGGATTTGAGAGAAAAACTGCCACTCACCGTGTTGTCTTTGTCTCACATTCACACCCAGGTGAGTATTTCAAAAAGTATGTGAAAAATGGATTTAAAAGGCTAGCACCAAACATCTTTTCATTCCATTTTCCACAAACTCTTTGACTTCCTTGTAGGAGGTTCCTTCAAGGAGTTGGTAGATCACAACCCCGCATTGATGGGCATCTAGAAAGGTGCATTTTGTTATCCTTGGGTTTTTCCAGGTAGGGAAGATGCTTAAGTTACCTTTCATTTTCTGATGCACTATGGCCAACAGGTTCTCCCGTAACAGCTGGTGCGAGTGCATACCAGTGGGAGATGACACTGGGGGGTGGGGGCAGATGCCCCAGGGGTCTGGAGAGGCTAGGGTGTTGCACAGGACCATGTCTACACCAAAGCAACCTCCAGCTGAGGTTGAGCAAGATGGACAGGCAACTGCCCTCACCAAGGTCACGCACCCCCCAGCGACACAGCATCCACTCACCCAAGCAGCTCCAGGACACAGTCCACGTGGGTCAGGGCCTCGCACAGCTTCACCACCCCATCGTGGTCCAACATGATCCCGTCGAGGTTCAGGCCTTTCAGGGACTTGCAGGTGATGAGAGCCGAGGCGAGGTCTTCAACACAGGCCGTGGTGAGCTGACACATTTCCAGGCTGCAAGGCAGAGCGGCTGCACCTGCCCCTTCCCGTCTTAGCAGGAGGCTCTGCTCCATGCAGCCGTTCAACCGGGGAGAGGTGTGGCGCCATGGCTAGACACTTCACCTAACCAAAGGGTGCTACTGGCCACTCAGATAGGGGCCGGGGCTGCTGAACCGTCCTGCCCCACCAGGCCCACCCAGCACGATCCAGCCCCAGATGCCCACAGCACCGAGACCCTAGTCCCAGGGGATAGTGCGTTCATCTTCAGAGTGCCCCAGACACGTTCTCTCAAACCCTGCTTCCCGTCAGCCCTATCAAGGCCCCCACTCCCCCTCCTCCAGAAACGGGTGCCCTTCCACACACAGACCAGCGGGGACGCACCCCAGACGCTGTAACCGGAAGTTGGGGTGCCTCAGGGCTTCACACAGCTGCCTCACGCCGGCATCCTGTATCTCGTTGGACCCCAGTTTCAGGGTCTTTAGACTTTCATTGCAAATGAGAGTTGCCACAATATCCTTACAGCAATCGGCAGTGAGGTAGCAGCCCACCAACCTGTGGGGGGGAGGGGGAGGGTCGGGGAGGGATGGGGTTAAAGACAAACAGACCCCCAGAGCCGTCTTCACGGCTTGCTTTCACTTGGTCCCCTGGGGCAGGAAAGCCCACGTGCTCCTGGCAGGGTGGGGGCGTTGAAGATGCAGGCTTTCCGCTGCTCGCCACCCTGCTCTGCGCTGGCACCCAGGCTCCCTGGGTCCTTCGGTGGCCTGCCCGCTCCCCTTGGGGGCTGCTGCTATCACTTTTCTCCACGGTCACTCCCTTCCAATCTCGCCTTTTGTTGGGGGCTCCCGTGACTGTCCTGTGACACCATTTCCCAGTCCCTGTGCAGAGCCGGCAGGCACGACTCTCCATCCTCCTCATCACCTACCCGTGTGCAGATGGATACAGAGACACCAGGCCGAGAGGTGCAGCTGGCTTCTAACAGATGCAGCCCAGCACCGGGCAGCAGAGAAGGACCGGAGTCAAAACGGTAGTAGTTAGACACCACAATCTGCTTGCCCCGGTGTGCACGCTGTAAGCACACATGTCCGTGACCCTCTGCAGAACAGGTGTCTTGGGGGCAGGGCTGTGGGAATGTTTTCTGGATCCAGGGCAGTGCCCAGGTGGCAGTGTGAGGACTGGGCGTCCTCCATGCTATGCCTGCTGGCGTTGACTGACCACACCAGGGGCCAGTCTCTGAGCACAGTTTCCCCCCTGTGTAACTCCAGCTGGCCAGCTCCATCCCCTGTGCACACTCACCCTCCTGAGCAAGCTCACCCAGCCAAGGGCGCTCAGGACGGGGGACAGGGAGACCCTGCGGGGTCTACGAGGATTCCACATCACAGTCTGGAGTTGGGACCACAGCACTCGCCCGGTCTCCCTCCCAGTGCCAACACCAGAAACGCCGACGCGGAGGCGCCAGGGCCACACCTACCACAGCTCCTTGAGGGTGCAGTTCTGGTGCTTTAGCACCTCGCACAGAGTCGCCACCCCCGTGTCCTCCAGCATATTTGAGCCCAGGTCCAGCAGGGACAGGGCCCTGTTGCACAGGAGGGCCTTGGAGAAGTAGTCACAGGAGACACTGGTGAGGCAGCAGCAGTTCAGTCTGCAGAGACACACATGGGTTTGTCAGCCCACGAAGCTGTGCGCGGCCACACCCTCAGGGCGCCACAGCACGGCTCTCCCCTCGTCCCTTGCACACTGTCGCTCAGGACAATGGAGGCATTAGGATGATCGTTTCAATGGCTACACTATTCTGTAGCTCCGATTAGCCACACTTGTATCCTTTACATTCTTCCTTTTTAATGTATACCGAGTTACAGATCAATTCTTTCACGTCCTAAAGTCTAGTTGTGCATGAAATCCATGTACAGTCCTATTCTGTAAATTCTAATCTATTAACACAACTTATTCAAGCTTCCTGATTTACTTGCCACTGAGTTTGCTAAACATTCCAACTAATATATCCAATCTTTATATAAATTTGTCCATGTTCAGAGTCCTGGCTAAGTGTATATCTGAGTTTTATGGGTTTGCTGAAATGGTGTTGTCTTGAACACTTTTGCATTTTAAGTTATGACATTGCTTTCACAGCCTTTTTGTTTGATAAAGATCCAAGTCTAAAAACAAAACTGGCTAGATGCGTTTTAAACAACCCTTTAGCTCAATGTAGATCATTTTAATTCTCATTTCTGGGTACACTTGAATTCTATTTGTGGTCTCAGCAGGTGTTTTAATAGATCAATGTTTTTTATCATGTCATTCTTTCACTAACCTGCCAACTCATGTGTTAAGGGTTTCTATTTCTTTTTCTTTTCTTTTTTCCACAGGCAGAGTGGACAGTGAGGGAGACAGAGAGAAAGGTCTTCCTTTTGCCGTTGGTTCATCCTCCAATGGCCGCCGCGGCCGGCACACCACGCTGATCTGATGGCAGGAGCCAGGTTCTTCTCCTGGTCTCCCATGGGGTGCAGGGCCCAAGCACTTGGGCCATCCTCCACTGCACTCCCTGGCCACAGCAGAGAGCTGGCCTGGAAGAGAGGCAACCGGGACAGAATCCGGTGCCCCGACCAGGACTAGAACCTGGTGTGCCGGCGCCACAGGCGGAGGATTAGCCTAGTGAACCGTGGCGCCAGCCTCTTTCATTTCAACGTTTAATCTTCAAGGAATTTTACTACAGGTTGCGCATCCCCATTTTGAAAATCCAAAATCTGAAGTCCTCCCAACCTTGAAACTTCGAACACTGGCACAGCCACAGAACTGGAAAATTCCATTCCTGACCTCATGCAGCATGTCCGTCAGAATGCAGGTGCACTGAAAACCTGCCTAGTTATCTTCAGGCTATGTGTACAAGGCATGCAGGGAACACAAATCCGTGTTTGTAGCTCTGGATCCCCCACCATACTTAGTATGCCCATGCAAGTGTGCCAGGATCTGAACACATCCCAAAGTGAGGTACTTGTGGTCCCAGAATTCTGGATGAAGGTACTCACCCTGTACTGGTTGTCTGACAGTCTCAACAGTCAGTCACCCTTCATATCCCAGCCCGCCTCTGTTTGATGCACCTCAGCATACGATGCCCGTGAACACACGCATGCATGGGCGTGTGCATAGCTCACGGGCTGGAGTTCTGCTTCCAGATGGCTCAGGACCAGGCTGCTTATGCAGGACCCCGTCTTAGGGCACTGCAGCCTTTTCTTGGACTTCAAGAAGGTTTCCAGTGTGGCCCGTTTGGACCAACAGAGGATCAGCTCTGCCGCTGTCCTGACCAGCTGCCCCCAGCACAGGCGGCAGCTCTCTCATTCTAGCATCAATTCGAGGGGAGGGAAGACACAGAGGAACCCAGGGACGGCCTTAGAATATCTCAAGTCTGTTCCAGCAAAGACTCCAATGAATTCTTTTCTTCTGTGCTCTGCCCTACTCCAGCACCCCTCCAGGGACAGCGCCCCCCTCCACAACAGCTGAGACGCATTCAGGTCCAGATTAGTCTAGTCCTGCACACCCTGAATGCCATCTCACAGGGCTTTCATATTTGCACGAACTCTGTCCCTGCCAAGCCAGGGGAGGCACAGAGATGTGGCGCAGCTCAACCACACACTCCCCGGTCTGCTGCAGCCTCCCGCGTGCGGGGCGGATCGAGGTGCAGGCGGCTGAGACCGGCCCCGGCACAGTCCCCAGAGCTACTCACATCAGCGACTCCAGGACACACTCTGGCCGCTTCAGCCCCTTGCACAGTATCATCACACCCGTGTTGTTCAGGGGGTTTTCCACCAAGGACAGACACTTCAGCTTGCTGTTGCAGACGAGGACACTGGCGATGTCATCGCAGTGGTCCTCTTTGATGTCACATTTGCCCAACCTACACGTGACACACAGGTAAGGGGAGGTGACTGATGGGCTATGTAGCTCGGTCACGGAGCCAAGACGCGTGCTTCCACTCCTGCACCTGCTAACCCATGCAAGCACGCAACCCTCACCCCACGGCTCTCCTCGTTTAGCATTTACAGCTTTCCACTGAAGCAAGCCAAGTGTTTACAACAGTGATGCCCAACCAGGAGTCATTTTGCCCTGGGGGAGACCTTCTGAAGGGCCTGGAGACATTTTTTGGTCATCACAGTGGGAGGCTTGCTATTGGCATCTGGTAGGCAAGGGCCAGGATGCTGCTCCATATCCTACAACCAAGGCACATATGGGACTCGTGACGTCAAATGATGTGTTGTCAGTAATGCTGTAACAGACAGGAAGTGCCATCTGAATCCTGCGCACACACTCAGTATGTAACTCTACACAGTCCTCACCCTGGCTCAGCCATGTCCGGGTGAGGATCTCCCCTGCAGACCTAGCGGTTTCCAGATCGCACTGGATGGCTGTCCTGCAGTGTACAGGACCGTCGTGTACTAGCACCGTCGTCCTTGATTGTAGACAGACTGCAATCCAGCATCTGCGCCACAAGACAGCTCCCACTCGGATGCCACTTTCTTTTCCTAGGTTTTGCCTGTGCTCTCCCCGCCAAAGAAACCTTTTATTTAATGAGTACAAATTTTTTTTTGACAGGCAGAGTGGATAGTGAGGGAGAGAGAGACAGAGAGAAAGGTCTTCCTTTGCCGTTGGTTCACCCTCCAATGGCCGCCACGCTGTGGCTGGCGCACCGCGCTGATCCGATGGCAGGAGCCAGGTGCTTCTCCTGGTCTCCCACGGGGTGCAGGGCCCAAGCACTTGGGCCATCCTTCACTGCACTCCCTGGCCACAGCAAAGAGCTGGCCTGGAAGAGGGGCAACCGGGACAGAATCTGGCGCCCCGACCAGGACTAGAACCCAGTGTGCCAGCGACGCTAGGCGGAGGATTAGCCTAGTGAGCCGCGGTGCCGGCCACAAATTTCTTAAGTACAACTTTAAGGATATAGTGGTTCTGCCCACCAAACCCACCCTCCAACCCCCATTCCCACCCCACCTCCCATTCCCATTGTCCATTAACATTCATTTCCAATTACCTTACACACAGAAGACCAACTCTATACTAAGAAAGATATCAAGAATTTGCACATACACAACTGTTTGAGACCCAGTTTTACTGTTAATTCTCATAGTACAAATTGTGAAAACAGAGGTCCTACATGGGGAGTTAGTGCACAGTGACTCCTGCTATTAATTTAATAACAACACTTATGTATGATGTTAGTGATCACCCGAGGCTCTTGTCGTGAGCTGCCAAGGCTACGGAAGCCTTTTGAATCCAGTCTCCATCGGTATTTAGACAGGGCCACAAGCCAAGTCGAAGTTCTCTCTTCCCTTTAGAGGAAAGTGCATCTTTGATGGCCCCTTCTTTCCACTGGGGTCTCACCCACTGAGGTCCTTCATGTAGGTCATTTTTTGGCCACAGTGTCTTGGCTTTCCATGCCCGACATGCTTTCATGGGCTTTTCAGCCAGACCAGAATGCCTTAAGGGCTGATTCTGATTGCCTGTGCTTCTGACCACCGGCTTGAGGTCTGTGGGTTCCCATGACCCCTTCCTCAGTGTGATGGATTTCCTTGAGTGGATCCTGGAGCTCGAGAAGCGCGTTTACGAGTTTGGCTCACTAGTAAGTGATGGGATGAGCACAGAGAAGCAGCCTGATGCAGGGAGGAACAGGGTGGGTCTGGGACACAGCCAAGCCCAGGAGCTGCCATCTCAGAGGAGGACAGAGGATCTGGAGGTGCCCAGACTTTTCACTGGAGAATTCTATGGAAGATTGGTCAAACAGGCCTGGTTGAGTGTTCACCCTACTTCCCGCCCCTCTTCCTTCCATGAGGATCGGAGAGGACTTCATGGTTTGGTCCTTCTGGTAACCAGTTTCCATCTAAGAGCCCAGCAAGCGTTCTCCACTCAAACAGAAGATCCTGCGCTCGCTTCGGCAGCACACCCACTGAGACTGGGGTGATGCAGAGGTGACCACGCCCCCGGGCAAGGACGACACGCCAGGCTGCAGAGTGTGTCATGCATTTATAAAGGTAAACAAGAGCTGGGGGAGGGCACACCCAGCAGTGGGCATTCGACAAAGTCACGCTGGAATAGGTGGTGTGTTTGCTCTGAGCATATCACAGGGGTCACAGCCAACAGTCAAGGAGAGTCAAAAAAGCCACGGGACCAGCTACAAAGGAGTGTGCAGACCTGCAGCTCAGGACTGCGCCCCGTGCAGGCGGCAGCGCAGGAATCGCCAGTGTATTTGTAAAAAACCACCACTAAGGTTGTTCTCCAGTAACAAAGCCAACAGAAACCTCCAGAGTCTCCTGTCAACCCACACAATGCCAAAGGATTTACTAGTTCCGTGTCAGTAACCAGGGTCAGAGACCAAATATTACAGCAAAATATTCCATCTCTAGTACTTGTGAAATCAAAAGTTTTTAGGGGGGCTGGCACTGTGGCATAGCAGGTAAAGCTGCCACCTGTAGAAGCAGCATCCCATATGGGCGCTGGTTCAAGTCCCAGCTGTTCCATTTCCCATCCAGCTCTCTACTTTGGCCTGAGGAAGCCCAAGTAGGTGGCTGAAGTCCTTGGGTCCCTGCACCCGAGTCAGAGACCCAGAAAAATCTGGCTTCAGATGGGTGCAGCTCTGGCCGGTGTGGCCAACTGGGGAGTGAACCAGTGGACGGAAGATCGCTCCCTCTCCCTGTCCCTCTGTAACTCTGACTTTCAAATAAATCTTAAAAAAAGTTCTTGGAGTTCTGGGCCAAGGACCGAATACGTGCATTTCTTATTCTCAGTGTCAGTAGCCCTGCCCTGTACCTCCTGCAGCTCACAAGTGGCAGGTACCCAGGTCCCTCAAGTCCCACTGGGTGTCAGGCCACATCTGTGTGTCCTCATTCCACAGCTGCCTCCCCACTCCTCTCCATCCTGCTCCAAGGTCAATGCCTGTGGATATTGTGATACCCGAGTGCTTCCCCTTCCTGACAAGGCTCACAGATCTCATCCTTCAAATTTACAAAGTAGGAGTGGACTTCAAAAAGGTCATGGAAAAACCGAATTAAAAGTTTATTTTTTGGAAAAAAAAAATTGAGTTCTATCCATAGTTTTCTTCATAATACATTTTCTATTTCAAAGACTCACCTCCCCAAATAGGGTTCAATTCTGATCTGAGACTAAAAGCCAACTAGAGGCTGGTGCTGCGGCTCACTAGGCTAATCCTCCACCTAGAGGCGCCGGCACACCAGGTTCTAGTCCCGGTCAGGGTGCTGGATTCTGTCCCGGTCGCCCTTCTTCCAGGCCAGCTCTCTGCTGTGGCCAGGGAGTGCAGTGGAGGATGGCCCAGGTGCTTGGGCCCTGCACCCCGTGGGAGACCAGGATAAGCACCTGGCTCCTGCCATCGGATCAGCGTGGTGCGCTGGCCGCAGTGCACCAGCCGCGGCAGCCATTGGAGGGTGAACCAACGGCAAAGGAAGACCTTTCTCTCTGACTCTGTCTACTCTGCCTGTCCAAAAAAAAAAAAATAAAATAAAAAAAAAAAGCCAATTAGAAAATTTTTAAGAAATAATGTTTAGCATATAAGGAAAAACGTACTCAGGATCTTACACAAACATGAATCCATAAATGTAGGAAGCTCAATTTTAAGTAAGAAACACAGGCAGAAAACACAATGAAAATAAATGTACAAGTGGCCAAAGACACATTACCTTTCACGGAACAAAATACTGATGCCTGAATTTGGAACAACGTATGTGAGCCAGAATCTGAGAATTCTGTCTTGACAGTTTAAAAGAGAGAATCCTGACAGCTTATAATTTTCTGATGTGTGTGGGGCATCTTCAAAACTGGAATCCAGACACTGGCATTTTCAAATCTATACCTGAGGTCGTCTTGTTGGCAGTGTCTTCGCCAGCATCCTGTGTTCCAATGGGGGAATGGTGGCTCCACGTCACAGCACAAGGAAACATTCCACGTAGAGCAGAGCCCCAGTTCTGTGTGCTACAAGTTCTAGAAAAACACGGGCTATCCTTGTGACTTTGAGCTTGAAAATAATTTCTTAGGAAAGGCATGAAGCATAAAATTAAGAATTCAGTTTTTGAAAAAAGATTGAGAGGCAGAGAGATCTTCCATCCACTCGTTCACACCCCAAATGGCTGCGACGGTCAGAGCTGGGCCAATCTGAAGCTGGGGGCTTCCTCCGGGTCTCCCACATGGGTCAGGGGTCCAAGGACTTGGGCCATCTTCTACCGCTTTCCCAGGCCACAGCAGAGAGCTGGATGGGAAGTGCAGCAGCCGGGACTCGAACTGGTGCCCATATGGGATGCCAGCACTGCAGGCAGAGGCTTAGTCCACTGTGCCAAAACGCCGGCTCCGAGAAATCAGTTTTGGTCATGAGCCTTTTCCCATCCAAAGACATTAAGGATGTGGGGGAAAAACAAACAAAAAAAATCCCAAAACCAAACTAGCCACAGAGAGACTATTTGCAGGGTGTAAAAGAGCACCCATAAACCTATTAAAAGACAACCCAATCCATCAATGGGTCCAAGAGGCACATCCAACTGGTGTTGGGAGTCCAACAGTCAAACACACAAAAAGGCACTTTAATCCACCCACCTCGCTGTCTCAGCCAGGATGGCCAGGATTTCGAAACTCAACCCCACAAGCTGGCAAGTTTGGGGTGCAAGTGAACAGTTGTGCACTTTGTGGGAGTATCAGCTGGTAAAGTCGCAGCAAAGCCTTTTACTACCTATGAAAATGGAACACACATTCCACGTACATCAAAAACCCCACTTGCGGGTCCACACTCAGGAGAAGTGGGCGACTGGTTATCCAGGACCCAAGCACGATCAGAATGTCGACGGAGGTCAGACGCACCTCACGAGGACAGCGGAGTCGTGTTTCTCTGGGGCTTTTGGGATG